CGGCGGTGGAAATGCCAGATATTTCTAAAGCCAAAAGGAAAACTCAATCTTTGAAAAACAAATAGTGTCACAACGTAACAGGAATCACCAAAATATGAAAATTAGAAAGCCATTTTGGGTGGGAAAGCCATTCCAGCTAAAGCTGTTGATGCCTCCAATGTCCCTGTCTCTGCCCAGCCAAGGGAGAAGAGAGATGCCCAGTGGAGATGGAGAACAGAAGGGAAACAGAAGAAAGCAAGGGGTAGGGATGGAGGTGGGGTGGGCAAGAACAAGGAAAATTCAAAGGATTTTTTTTGACATAACACATCAGAACAAGAAGAGATGGACGTAACTCCACGATCCCCTCCACCTCTCCTGGACCAGGTTCATTGATTGCCTGTAGCAAACGCTGGCTAGAAGAGACCAGCAGTTTAAGTCAAAGGCACAAATTAAGACTCCTACTGAGGCTGAAACCATTCTTCCCATTCACTCTCCAACCCAAAGAGTTCCCGATTCTCTTGACTTTGTGGGTTGTTGGTACTGCTATCACTTACTCATTCAATAAGGTTTAGTGGAGCCAGCATTTTAACAGATTATGAAGCACATCCCCTAGCCATTAATTTATCTGATTCTGACCCAAATCCTGTAAGATAGTTACCATTTGTCTCTGTTTTGCAGCTCTGTTTCACTCAATGCTTAACACGGTGCTTGGCCCATAAATAGTGAACACAGTGGATGTTCAATACGTATTTGCCAAGTAAAGAATCTTCTGTCTTGTTAACATGGAGTTAAAAAAAGAAATTGAGGCTCCATGGAGTATTAGAGCCTGCTGTGTGATGGCGAGTGCCAGGTGAACATTCCACCGCCCTCCCTCCCCCACCCGGGGCTCTCCTGGAACTGGCAAGGGATCTCTCTCTCCTCCTTGGAGAAAATGACTGTCAGTGGTGGGAAGCCACAGGAGAGCAACGATGACAAATCTGTTTGGCTCATGCTTTCATCCCCGGTTTCTTGTTAGTCAACAGAGGAACCAAATGCTTTTCCAAAGGACAGGAAAGTGAGCCTGGTCATTATGCTCAAGTAAGTGAACAGGACTAGACATATTAGCAAACTGTGTGCTTGCTTGCTTATCAGAGACGAACGTTTGATGTAAAAAAGAGCCTCAAGGGGTACTGAGTCCAACCCATCCCCCGAAGCAGTGATCCTTTTAATAATACTGGGCTTCACACACTGACCATCCTCTGCGCACTGGGCGCTGTGCCAAGCACGTTACATGCCTCAGCTCTTTTCATCCTGGCAATAAGTCTATGATGTAGGTCTTATTAAACTCATTTTATGGAAGAGGACACTGAGCCTCTGATGGTTAAGTAATTCCTTGGTGGGGAGTAGAATACTATGTGATACTGTTGGTCCGGAGAGAGCATGTCAAGCTTTGAAGGAATGAACAATGCAATAAAATACAGCTCATTGTATCACCTCCCGTAATGGTGCCTATCCCACCAGGGTGCTATAAACCTCAAACAGGACAGAATATTTAATCGATGCTCACAAATACAGTAGCTCTGTTCTGAAACATAAGGAAGAATTAACAAGAAAAAGCTTGGGAGAAGGAGGTATTCCAAGCAAAGAGAACAGTTGAGAGATTATGAAATAAGATGACTGTGGGTTTGAGCGCAATGGGAAAGCAGCAAGTGGTGAGGCTGACAAGCTAAGCAGAACCCAGATTAGGAAGGGTCTTGTATGTCACTTTAAGGAAACTAAACTTTATGCTGAGAGATGGGAGGAGATACGGAAAAATTTTAAGGAAGCAAATGAAAGTTGTCCTCCAGAAAAAACAATGTTTAGAGTCACAGATATATCCATCCATCCATCTATCCATCCAGCCATTCAAAGAGTAACTATTGACTGCCTGGTCTGTATCTAGTGTTCGGATATCATCCCTGGAAAAAAAGGTTTTGCAGATGGGGTCTCTGCCCTTGAAGAGCTTCTAGTCTAGTGATATCAGTTAAGAAACTGCTGTACTAATGCAGACAACACACACCTATCGCTTGTATAAAGGGAACATCAGAGGAGATGAAGACAAATCAGAGTCCATAAGGAGGAAAAATGGACACAGCTGGGAAACTGGATGTGTGGTGCTGAGTCTGGGAGAAGGGGGGGAGGGGAGGGGAGGGGAGGAGGAAGGAAGGTACAAAAGTACTGATGCTTCATTTCTGATATATTTTTGTATACACGGTGACCAAATGAAGTTACATGTTCGTATAAGCTATCCGCTAGAAATGAGGCCATAGACATGTGTGAATATTTTTACACATACTTATTCTGATTTAAATGTACGTTTATGATGATCTGTACAAACATCTCTCACATATCTTTGTGTATATACACTGCAGCTGTTGACACAAATATAGCTATAAAAACTTGGTGCCAAGTTTTTTCCAGATGGATACTTCAGCATACCTGGAATACTGTGGGCAGAAACATAGGGAAAACACTCACATGAGTAAGAAGAAAACAGTGAGTGGCATCTGTTAATCTCTCATGGAAAACCCAGCAGTTGCAGTGTATTTTATGCCTGCATAAGTGATCTTAACAGAGATTTGAATCGATCAGATCAAGCTTTCTAATTCCTGAGCTACAACTGTACCATGGTATCAGATACCTCAGAAAATATTCATCTGTGAAATACAGCTTTTGCTCAAGAGATGGGAAAATACAGTTTCTTCTGAGTACAACCACTTTCTGTGGCCAAAGGCAAGAATTTCTGTGACTATATTCACCTGAAGTCCATGAAATGGAGTTAATGGAACATAGTGGACTTGCAATAAGTATCTGTCCAATGAAGAATCTTCTACCTTGTTAATACGGCGCTAAAATAATGAGGTTGCAGCTCTATGGAATATTAGAGCTGGAAAGGACGTTTGTTTTGTGGGTAAGATGCTATCTTCAGAGAAGCAAAGTGACTCACTCAAGGGCAGAGTGCACTGATGACTGAGTTCAGACCAAGATCCCAACCTTGTCATCCTCCCCACCCCCACGCTCTTTCCCCAACCCCAAAGATATGTCTGGCACTGCTCATGGATTGGGGAATTTTATGTTAGTTTGGGAAGTCCAAAAACTTAAACACGCAAAGATAAATAGGATGAAAATGAGTTGAGAAATAAATTGTAGAGTTTGGCTCATGGAAAAGTTTATTTCTTCAAGAATATTAAAAGGGTCTGAGCCAAATGGATCACAGAGCCTGCAATAGGATGATCTAAAAAAAGAACAGTGTCTTTTCCTGGCCTGCATGTACTAAATTTGCATCTCCTGAAGGAAAACCCGGGTCTGCTGGGTTTCCTAGGAGGCCTGAGTCAGCTCAGGGAACCAGGGGGCTCAGCGCTTCCAGTGGAACTCTGTCCTGCATATCATGTGTTAAGAGGCTCAAGGATGTACCAGGAATAGACTCAACCAATTGACAGTTTGGTTGGATGGAGGTGTGGGAAGACATTAGGAAATTATTTCATTCATTCAAGTAGTAGAAGAAACCAAGATGATTTTAGCCAGAAAAGTCTCAGGGAAGAGTCTTGCTACACGTACCTCCCAAATAGCTCTCAATTCCATCGACTTTTCTCCATTGTCATTGCCAGTGACCTCACGTAGGCCACCATCATCCCTCTCCTGGAATCATGTAATAGCCACCTGGATGCTCCCTCTCCTCCAGTGAACTCCTCCCCCATTCTCTTTGCCACAGAGCAGCTCAGGCAATCTTTATAACAGGCACATCGGACCGTATCTCAGCCCCCTCCCAAGACACGTGGCATCCCCTCACTGCCCTCAGTATAAATCCAAACCCATCTCCAGCTGCTCATTAGACGTCTCACCCCAGTCCACACTCCCTAGGCCACACCTTTCTCTTTACACTCCAAACCCACTGAAGTTCTTCTGTTACTAAAGAGCTCTTGTTTATGGGGGTTATATCTATCAGCCGTTACCATACTGTGAATTAGAACTGAGAAACTTTAAAACACAAGAGCCCAGAGCAGGACAACACCGCATGCCACGCAGCCTCTGGAAGGTCCCACCATACGCTCAAGAGAGAATGAGAGTGACAAAGGTAAACAACGTCATAGTATTCTTGTAAAAATAACTTTGGACTTTGAGGACACACTGAAAAGCCTCAGGAACCCCGTAAGCCTCCAGCTCACACTGAGAAAACCTCTACACATGTCAAACTTCTCTCACCTTCTCAAATGTACCTTGCTCCCTGGTGTGGCGACTTTTCCTGGGGCAGGGGGCCGTGAGTCTCTGTTCAGAGTGGGGTCCCCTTCCTACCGTGCTCTGTACTTCTCACTAACATGAGCCTCCACACACCCGAGGGTCACCGCCCGCTTGCTGACCTGACTCCCCATTAGAGGGTCAGCTCTGCCTTGCCCGCGTGCCTAGCGCGGGCAGAATTGAGACCGGTGCACACACACAAGCACAGTGAGGTGGAAGAGGTGCAGCCCTTCTTCTGTAAGAACCCAGCAGGATTTCAGGAAGAACTTTCCAACAAATGGAGCCACAGGAGGAAGGCCAAGGAAATCCACAGGCTGGTGGTAGGAGAGCCTCAGGGAGGGAGGGCACAGAGGGAATTCCCGCTCTGGGTGGGAACCAGGCAACCCTTCCAAGTCTGACAGCCTGGGATTCTGCGAGGCTGAACAGAGGGTTTCTCCCAGACATCCCTCTCGCTTTACATTCCAGATGGATTTGTTTACAGTTCCCAAGTTTGACTCTCATTTTTATTTTAAGCTACTTTGGAAGATAACAGAGTACAGTGCAGTCATTTTTCTCCCTCACTTCCCTCTCTGATCCCTCTCCCTGGCTTTATTCTATCTCTGACTTTTTCTTTGTCAACCTTCTTTCTAAAAATATAAAAGAAAATGGAGGCGTTCTCGCTGAACCTCAGTGAGAAGTCAGACTCCGCTCTCTGTGCTGGACTGGTGTCCCCACCCAGAGACAGGTGGCATGAGCTGGCCTGTGTGCACAGAAGCATGAGGGACTGCCAGGGGGTTTCCAAGTGGAAGTCTCTGAGGACAAGGGAGGGCGAGAGGAGAATATGGGGTCTCCGCCAGCCTGCCTTCAGGGGCTTGACCTGAGCCCCAAAGAAAGAGACGTTGCAGAAGGAAACAGAATAGGCAATTTTCCACGAGATTCTCTAAGCTGCCTTGCTTCAGGGCCAAGTGACATTGCAAGAAAACACTGGGTGAAAGGCACTTCCTTCATTTCTATAGAAAACCTGGTGGATGTGGCAGTGAATGGTACTATTAGGGAGCACAGAGGTTACTGGCCCCCTAAGGAGGCCTGGGAGACCCTTCCTGAATAGGGAAGGTCTGGTCATGGGTGGAGCCCACAACACTGGCAATCATGAGACACTTCCTTCAAGTGTTTTGCTGATAAATGTATCTCCAAAAGGAGGTTACATGGCAGAAAACTGAGCGGAATAGTTGTGACACGTGTGGGAATGCCCTGGGTATTCCCAGAGTTAATGGAAGAAGAATCAAAGGCTAGTGATGCCTTGAGGCCACCAAATATGTGTGCTGATTCTAATGTGACCTCGTTTGTACCCACAGGCTGTCAGGGGCTCGGGGTACATAAAACACACATATACTGTGTTGTATCAGGTGTGTGGCCTTGGGCACTTACTTAGTGTCTCAGGGATTTTGTTTCTTCATATGCAAAGTGGGATAGCACACCCAGAACAGTGCAGGTGCTCAAAACACTTGTGTTGAATGAATGCATGAATACTGGCCCTGACGAAGGGGAAAGGGTACAAACTTCTAGTAATACAGTGAATAAATTCTGGAGTTTTAACATACTGCATGGTGATTATAGTTAACAATGCTGTGCTATACACTTGAGAATTGCTTAGAAAAGAGATCTTAAATGGTTTCATCAAAAAAAAATTGTGACGTGATGGATATGTTAACTAACCTTACTGTGCTAACCACTTTGCAATACATACATGTATCAAATCATCAAGTTGAAGTTGTACACCTTCAACTTACACAGTGTTATATGTCAATTATATCGCCATGAAGCTGGGGGGGGGTAGAAGACAAAAAAAAAAAGGGACTACTGACCTTGCAGGGTGATCTTAAGATCAAATAAGATAGTATGTGGAAAAGACCATTAAAATTATAAAAGTACATCTACATCAGAAGAGTTCTTTGCACACTCAACCTGCAAAAGAGCTTCCAGGCCGGCTTACCTTCTGCTTCGCGAGGACTCCAGTGTCCCGATGGGCCACAGGGCATCGGGGAGGAGGCATTGAAGGCAAACTGCACCAGGATTCTCCCCTCCAGGCAAAGGTCACATGCTGATCCCAATTCTCTAGGAGGCCAAGGAAAGAAGGAAGATGCACCGACTTAGGAACAGTTGACTGAGCTCCTGACTCCACTAAGCCAAAGGCAGAGGTTACAACACACCTGTGTTACCCCATCCTCCCCTCCCTGACTTTGCCAGAGCCTCCAGAATATGACCATAAGTGAAATTCCTCCCTACTGCCCAGCAAAGACCTTGTTCGGGCCTCAGTGGCTTCTGTTCTGGTGGTGGATACACTTCTTTCATTTTAACCAGCCCAGCATCAACAGGTCGAAGACTTACTACATGCATGAATCTTCATTTTATCAGTCATTGAAAGTTCCACTGAAAATTTGATACGTGGTTATGAGAAAGTCTTTTGTCCCATCCAATCTCAAATTGTATTCTTTTAACAGTATCTGTCAGGTACCTACCACGTGCAGGAACCATCCTGCACCCTAGGTATTAAAGAGGAAGGGGGCATGGTTCAGTTCCCTCAGCTGAAGATGACTGGGCTGAACTAGACGATGCCAAAAGAACCTTCCAGCCCAGACATTCTGAAGATGGATGAGTCACTCTTTGACTGAACAGCTGAAAGCAGTCTCCTTACCATGCCATCTAATTCACTTTAGCAGTTTTCCAAGGGGCAAGCTAACCCCTCAAGTGGACCAGCCCCAGAAGTGGAACACTACGGTGGCTCCCCCTCCCATGTAGTGTCCTATGTATCTGGATTCAATCTGCCTTTAGCCACACGGCCTCTGGGATCCTACTTGTCCTCCAGACTTGGCCTCTGTTCAGGAGGCAGTTGCCGGGAAGGGAGAAAGATAAGCCCTCTCCTTGTGTACCAGAGTGAGCCTGAAATGCTGCAAATCTGAGCAACTCTTGTAGCAAGACTGGGAAGGGAAAATTTCTAGAAATGTCCCAACCCAACCCATTATTTCTCAAAATGCAGTGCTCCTGCCAATACCTCTTTCCTAGAGGAATCGCTACTCTTTGGCTACCTGGAAGACACGATGGAGGAATCCTATCTCAAGCCTTAGGACTGTTTCTTCGCATGCAAGCTCTGCAGCCCCTGGGTTCACGTGGGGAGGCAGAATGTGCGTGTGACCATCACAGTCTGCTGGTGCTCCCCACTCACCCTCCACCCGGCTGCCAGGGAGCTCAGCCCCAAACCAAATCTGAACAGTTCACGCCCCTGCTTCTCGGCTTATACAGTGGCCAGCGTACATAGTTTAATGGGTGGATGGATAAATACCAGCCACTCTGACATGTTGCTAAGACTCATGATTAACCTAGTCTAGACTCTCAAACTGCAGATTCTGCATCCCCAGCTTTATCACTGCAAATATGAAACCAGACACATAGGTAGAAATTTCGCAAGCACACTAATATTCAGTGACAGGAGAATGATTAAATGGCCTAAGATTAATCAGCTCAGTGGAATAGTAAGCGGGTATTACAAAAATATTCACAAGAATTATTAAATTTCATGGAAAATGTGTTAGCTAAAATGTTAACTGAAAAAGTCATATTCAAAACTGTGTCTCTAGGAGCATCTCAGTGTTGTTCGAATAATCTTAACGTGACACAACATTACCCGCACCAATTTTGGGGCAGTGGAATGCAGGAAGACTCCTCCCTCCCTATTTTTGTTCCTTCTGCTTTTCTGAATTTTCTATGTATGCTCAGCATGTATGAAGCACTCCTGGACTAGCAGTAATAACAATTATACAAATATGCCTGTAGGCGGGGAATGAGGAGGAGGAGAGAGATTGCTCAGCACCGCACTGCAGGGCAGTTCCGTTACAATGACCACAACTCATGCGCTGCAACCTAGAGTCACATAATGCGCTTTATGACGACGATGAGATTAAAGACATCCTGGGATGGAATCAGGGGTTGCAGTGACCTCAATGGCAACTGGGCCTTTCCATTTCTTTAGATGCTTTGTTTTGGATGATACACATACAGTCAACATAGTCACCTGCACCTTGAGTTCTTGACACATCCTAGGTTCCCAGTAAATACTTTAAAGAGTGGACAAACCATCATCCACCCGACAGTAGATGTGCCTTGTTTACACAGCGCCCCACAAAGTGCATTCCCTCATGTTCAATCACTGAGTCACGTGTTCATTCATTATTGCATCTGTTCATTCGGCGGGCAGTCATTGGACGGCCTCTGGTTACTAGCACATGGTAAATACCAGACATTGGCCATCCAAGGGCGAGCAGTTTCAGCGTGGTACCTGTCCTCATGTAGCATGCAGATCGTGGGGGCAGCAACCCATAAACAAGTAAGCAAATAGGTATCAACTACAGATCCAGTAAGTTCTGGAAGGAAAGTGGACAGATAATGTAGGAGAGAGTAATGGGCTTTTCAAGACTGCGGTAATCACGGGAGACCTTCATGAAGGTATGGAGAGAGGGGCAGAATGACACAGAGTGGGTGTAAAGCAGTCTGGGCTCAGTCTCGAGGTATGTAAAAGACCTAAGGAGGAAAAAAGGGCTTGGTCCATAGGGGCCCTAAAAGAAACCTGTGTGGCAAGAGTCACAAATGAAGGGAAGAGCAGTAAGAGAGGCAGTTGGACAAGTAGGCAAGGGTCAGATCATGGGAGGTTCTGTAGACTACACGTAGCTTCTATGTAAAAGTAGGGAGTCGCATGATCTAATTCACATTTTAGAAAGACCAGTCTGAATGATGAATGAAGAGGAAACTGGGAAAAGAAGGCCAAAAGCAAAAGCAAAGTCAGTAACTAAAAAGCAATGGTGTGGTTCTGAGTATGGTCGGTGATGTTCCCATTTTATAGGTAAGGAGACTGAGTATAACGAGTACAAAGTAATTGTGTCAAGGTCATGGCTCAGAGAGGCACCGAGTCAACACGGGCTTTACCAAAATCAGGCTGTATCCTACGCATTGAGAGACTGCATAATACTGTGCTTCAAACCTCTGCGGTAGATCCTGAAGATAGAATCAAGATGGTCTTTACACTCTCAGAACTGGCACTCTGGAGGATTTTGCCTTGTGCTTCTAACAAGAAGTGGTGACCTCATGCTGCATTTTCAAAACTTGTTTTTACAACTTTCAGGAACATCACCCTTGACCTACTGGCAGGTTTCCATTCTTCTACCTTACTGTTGTACAAAGAAACCATAAATCCTCTGAGTTTTTAAAATCCAGGAGTTCTGCTTTCCATAACATAGCACAGACACACAGACACACACACATATACAGGCTGAAATTATGGAAGTACAAGATGCTAACACTGGAAGAGATTGTCTTTCTTACCCAGGTTCCATGAGAATCAAAGCTTAGAGCTCCAAGTCTAGCCTGTCCAATACAGCAGCCCCCATCACATGTGGCTATTTAAATTTAATTAAAATTCAGTAAATGTAGAATTCATTTCAGTTCCTCAGTTATACTCGTCACATTTCAACTGTTCCATAGCCACAGTTGGTTGGCTAATGGCTACCATATTGGACAGTGCAAGTACAGACCATTTCCATGATTGCAGACAGTCCTATTGGACAGCTCTTCTCTAAGGCATCTACTGTATATAGTGAACTAGCCTCTCTCCTATGCACCTAGAATGGTACCAATTATATACCATCCTTAAGAGAATTGAGCAAATAGTTACTCAAGTCATTTTCTGTGTTCTAAGATTTGGAAAAGGAACCTAGTTGAGAAAGGCTAGGTTCCCTTTAGCTTACAGATCAGAAAACTGAGGCTGAAGAGGAAGAGGAAATGGATGAGGCTGCAAGGATCTCAGACCCAGGTCTCTTGGTTCCCAGTCCAGTGTTCTTTCCAATACACCACAGTCCATTGTTCAGAAAACTGAAACCATCTAGTCAACATATGTTTGCAAGACAGATAAAAATAAAGGAGTTAAAAAAGCCCAGGGTGGCCTTGAATTATTTATTCAGTTGCCCATGTGTTCGGACACAGGTTGTGGGAGTATCTGAGTATGTTTTTTTAAGGAAAACCCTTGTATTCTCTTAGACCACAGATGTGAGGAACAGCAGGAGGACATGAGGATGGCCAGGGGCGAGAGGTTGGCATTGATGGATGTAGTGGAAAACACCGGAGACTTTGCAGGGAAAGAGAATTTTCAAGTAGCTCAACAGCTCTGGACAACTTTGTACAAGATGGGAGCTACTATTTCCTGAACATAGAGTATGTGCGCTAGGCACATCACAGAAATCATCTTGTTGAATTCCCCAGAAAAGCCAAGTGAAGCGGGCACAGTTAGCACCTTTTATGGAAGAAGACTCAGAGGGTCAGAGAGGATCAGAGAGGTGAGATGACTTGCCCAGGGTCCCATAGGCTGGGAGTGGTGAAACTGAGAAGGGAACACAGACAACCCAACATCAAAGCTTGTGCATTTCATACTAAGCCAATTTCCAGTGTGAACTCTGTGCCTGGGAGAGCGATAGTTCATTTCATTACAACAATTTATTGAACTTGGTGACCTACTTCCTTTAGCCATAGACTATGGTCTACCTAGCTGTTAACCCTAATTACACGTTTCTAAAATGTCAGTTTTAATTTAACATATGATAACTCTGTTATGAAATCTTAGAATGAACAGAATAGCTATTGTATGAGCCTCAAGCACCTCCTGACTATAGGTTATTAAAAACATATTGATCGAAGCTGAGGGCTCTGTATAATAGAGACATATCTCATTACACAACAATTAACCCTCCAATGGGTTTCCAACAATCAGATGGTATTTATTTAATGGACAATAACTGCTTTATGAAATGCAAATTGAATACATACACAGGAACCTTCATTTACAAAACTTCCATTTTTAAGTGGAATCAAGGCCAAGGCTTGACCAAAAGTCTGATACTCCTCATTGCCACAGAAAAAATAAATAAATCTATGGGCTGCTGGAAAGGCTGCTCTGAAGTGTCACATGAGGTTTCCCAAACCCAGCTCCGAGCCCCAGTGAGGACGGCTGGGGCAGAGGAAGGCGGGTGTCTACAGAGGGCCTACGGAGTGCATTTCTTTTGACATTCACCCAGCTGTCAAAGGAAGGTCCTAGATTCAGGCACTGATAGCAGTGTGGAAAACTGGAGCCCAAATTTAGTGTGGTGCCATGATCTAATATAGTTTTTGCACACGTACGCACACTTCTGCTTGTAAATGAGAGCTCCCCACCACTTTCCGTGGCCTTGTTGAGAGGAGGGGTAACACCTCTTCCATAATTCGAGTTTTGGAAGGACTTAATGAAAGACAGGAGAGCCTGGGATAAGACACTGCAAGGTGTGAGTTGAAGCCCAGCCCTACCACCTTCCATGGGCTCTTGGTCAAATCTCTTCGCCTCTTTGAGCTCCAATCCCTGCCTCACCTGGCAAATGAAGAAGCTGGTCCTTTTATAAAATTACCAGAAAGATGAAATGAGACTCTGTCTGCAAAGCATTTAGTGCAGAATTGGGTGCAGGGTAAGCACTTGATAAACACGGGCAACCACAACCATAGAATAATATTCATTATGTGCTGGTTATTATTTCCACCATCATTAATGTTGTACCATCGTTACCAGATAAGACATCCCCAAGAAGGGCTGGGGGAAGGGGGCAATATACTAATCCGCCCGAAATCATAGCCAAGTTCCATCCAAAATAGATGTCAACATCTTAGCATGTTCTCATAACCCTTTACAACTCCCTAAAGCCTCAGCTCCTTAGGGGCTCCCAATGCTGAAAGGCACCGCAGGAAACCGCTTGATTCGGGTCTGCACCTTCCAGCCACTGAGGCATCATTAGACCCACTTTTCAGCAGCGGAAAATAAGACTGGGAGGGAAAGTGATTCACTGCTAGTAAGTGATAGACCCGGGAGCTGAAATGAGGTGTCTTGAGCCTCAGTTTATCATCCCCTGATCTTCTAAACATTCTACCTTCAGTTCTATAAAGCAACACTAGGCACAGGCAAAGATTCTAATTATACAAATATATATGTACATGCATATAATGCACACATATGTACAAGCTCATGTGTAAGGCATCCTTCATATATAACATGCATATGAAGGTGTTTGCCCATATGAAGGTGTTTGCCCATTAACCAGAGGCAATTTCAACTCTCGCGTTCATGGAGGTGAGGCCAGTACCTCCATCCCAGGGGAGGTTATGGCAAGAGAGGTTTCAATGTTTTTAATAATGAAGCCAAACATTCACTCACTTAAAATATGCACCATTACTTGCTGATTTCTATTAGTAATCACTCATTCCCTGACCCCTCAACTCTACAACACGCCCATGTGGACCAGTCGCCATACTAAATGTTGCAGGCACTCATTAAATAAGATCAAGAACCAAAAACACACTGAAATCCCTCTTCCGAGGCTGCTTCCCTTCCAAGTCTGCCTCTTCTGGCAGGAGAGAGAGAGAGAGAGAGAAGGATCGACACTTCATAGGCCATACTCACCTTTCAAAGAAGTGGCCATCGATGGGTGGGAACCACTCCAGCGTCACGGAGTCGGTCGTGTGGCCCATGATCTGGGGGGCGAGGGCGACAGGCGCCGGCTTCCTGGAGGGCTGCCAGCTCTGGTACACCAGGTCCAGGTAACAGTGCATTCTGGCGACTTGATTGGGCGTGAAGGAGTCCGTGCAGTCGTCATCTACAAGTGGGCAGAGGGAAAGATAAGAATCTCACTGCACGGGCGGGCAGGCGAGAGAATGATGACGTCTCCTGGTGGCCGGAGAGCCAGCACCCTGGCTCTTGCCAACTCAGAGCTGGCCTCTTCCAGTGCTCAAGAGTTAATGGTCTGTGAACAAATTAGTGCAGTCATCACTTCTGGAGACAGGTGAGAGGGAACAGGAGAAGGGGAGGGTGGATGGAACTGAAAAGGCATGTCTGAGCCTGGAGAGGGAGCGGCCCAGAGGTCATGGCTAAGGACAAGGGCAAGACAAGGTGCTTTCATGGGTCCCCAAGCCACCGGTCAGCAAGTCACCCTTACCCCTTCCCTCCCTCCCCTCTCATTTAGTACCTCTCATTCCTTCACTCATTTTGTTCACTCACTCACTCATTTGCTCACTCCTTTACAAGCTCACTTGTTCCTTCGCTCATGCCCTCAGGTTTGTTCAACCGCTAATTCTGCTATTTACTGATGCAGAGATATTTTCCTTCCAACAAACCTTCTGAGCATCAATTACATATTCTCTGCTCTGAGCCAAGGGTCATGGAAACACAAAATATTCTTGTGCTGAGGAGCTACCAGTCAAGTTATAGGGTTAAGGCCAGTTTATTGTATGGGTCAAGGTGGTTACAAGGCTGCTCGAGTCTGCGACGCTGACCACTGATGGAGAGGAGACAGCACACTGGGGGAGTCCGGTAAACCCACGAGGCTTCTGAAGGAGGAGGTACTTGAGGTCCACTAGGCTGCATGGCTAAGACTGGGAAAGAAAGTGGAGGGGCTGCGGGAGAGGGGGTTCAGGCCCGCAGAGGCGTGGTGTCCTACGTAGTGAGCACAGGCCAGAGCATCATGCAGGGTCAGACGTGGTCCAGGCTCAGTGTCCATGGCGGGGATACAGGACAGTGACACCTTCTGCGTGTGGTGCTGTCACTGGGACATTTACTGTGTGCCCAGTACCAGCCAGGCATGGTGTACTGTGCTGCGGACACACAGAACTCTCCTACTATTCTGGAGAAAATACTATTTCTCCATTTTACAGAGGAGGACACTGAAGCTGAGAGAGGTCAAGCTACTTTTTAGAGATGACAGAGCTGGGGGGCAGATCTGAGATTCGAACCCAGGCAGTCTTGACTCCAAGGCCACGTTTTGAATCAATATGAGAACTTCTTTCTGAGTGCACAGGAGAAAAAATTGTGGGCAAAGTATCCTGCAGGTGCTTGATAAATGGGAGTTGAGTCTGAGCCTGTGGGGGAAGGCGGGCTGGAATACAATCTCTTAATGTCTTTCGATCTAACGACCTTCAATCTACTCTCTCCCTTCGAGGATGCGGAATGAAGGCCATGACCCAAGACTCGCCCCTCAAAGAAGATGTTTGCCTCCCGTCCCTCCCTCCAGCAGCGTCATTCAGCTGCCCCAGGGGCAGAGCGAGGCACTGTTTTGGCTTGGTTTCCAAAAACACCACTTCCCAGAGGTGTCTGCCTGGTCAGGGTTTCCGCAGCTGGACCCCAGACGGAGGAGCACAGGGCTCGCCAGATCTTAAAATAAACCCGCCACTGGGAATCCTGCAGCATAAACTCACTCCCCTTCATCAAACAAACAGAAAATAAGTTTGGGCAGGTGCTGGGCAGTTGGACATGACCTTGAGAATCCAGATTGGGGAATGGACAGGGGTGCGAGGAGGCTGTGCACAGAAGCTGCCCCTGGTCCCCTTCACAATTTCTGACAGTCTCTTTCCAGCACCCTGGGGAGGTCTTCCATACGTTTGGAGGAAGCAGAAGAGCCCGCTGTCCCGTAGCAAACACTGTGACCAGAGCGACCAAATGTCTCTGAAGCCCATGTGTAACTCCCTGCATACCAAACATCCTACGCGACCCCACTGCCTGAGGAATAGCGTCCGAAGGTACTCAAATGCTTAAGAAGAACTGGATGGTCGGGGACGTTCTCCTTTGTGACCCTGAACTTTGTACTTCATCCCGAAAACTTTGGAAAAGTCACTGAATAGGTTAGAGGAAGGCAGAGGGCATGACGGCTAAGCTAAGGAAGTTAGGGGCTATATACATAGACTCATGCATGAGGAATTTGGAGTCAACCGGGCAAGTGATTTTATGCCCATGGTGCCTCAGCTTCCCCGGCCGTGAAGTGGAGATGATGATGATGATAACCAGATTGCTGATGTCAGAACGCCGCTGAGGGTTACACAAAGTGCAACACCAAGAGCGCTGCTAAATGCTCAGTAAATGCTCACTGCCTCGTGACTCAGAGTAAGTGCATGTGTGCGTCTGTGTGTGCGCACTAACGTGTCTGGAGTGTTGGAAAACTGGAAGCAGGTAAAAAAAAGAATGTAAAATATTCATTCTCCTTGATCTAGCAACATCACATTTAGGAATTCAATCGATAGATATTCATGAACAAGCATGAGGAAAAATATATGTACAAGGATGTCTTTCGAAGCATCAATATAGTGAAAGTATTAGAAATAACGCATCCGTCTATTAATTGGGGGATAACTGTGTACTTTAAGGCAAACGCATAGAATAGAATTCTAATCAGTCATTTCGAAAAGGAAGCAGCTTTAAAGCTCACATCCCTCATGTATAAACTGGGCACATTTAAATGCACCCCACCACACAAGAGTAGTGGTGAGGAGTCAATGAACTGGAGCTCATAAAGCACTTATCAAGATAAATGGAGAAGAAAAATGGCATTTTTTTTCCCTCTCTATATTCTGATTTGTTTGCTTTTCTTCTCCCAAAGAAATAGCAGTTTCCTTTTCTAACTTAAAAATTAGCCATTCCCATGTCTGTCAATAAAAACGTTTAAAAAATGGATAGGAGACGGAACCTGGTAGGAGAACAAAACTGTGTCTGAACTTTAAAAGCTTAAGTCGGAAAACGCCCCTCCCAGGGAAGCACACCCAGAGACTGAGCCGCTGGCGGGATCTTGGGTGAGGCACCGGAGGGCTTCTGTTTATCACACTTTGCCTCGATTAGCTAATGCCTCCGGGCAGCCCCTCTGGGCTTCCTGCCGCCACACGCTTCCCCTCCTGACATCCGTGGCCACCTGATCCTGGGCTCTAGGACCAGCTGACCCATCTTACTCTTCTGTCTCCAAGCAGAAAGGACACTGGGGATTTCAGTATTCCAGGAGCCTGCACCAGTCCCCACAGGGTGGATACAGTGCCCTGAGTTGGCTAACTACACTCTGTTCTCAAGAACACATTTCCACCTGTGGCTGGAAGGCCACAGAGCATGGAGGCGGCTCAGGGCCTGAACTCAGGACCTCCACCCCCCATGGAACCTCGGACACAAAGCTGATCCAGGAAGCCTCACTTCCACCCACTGTGAAGTACGGAATCACAATGTTACCTGCCTCCCACAGCGGATGAAAGCATTTCACAAGCTAACCCATCTCCAGTGCATGAATAACTGAGCTGCCCTTGGTAAAAGTCCCTGTCTTTCTGTTGTTTTAAAAATAATGATCATGATAATAATAGTGACAGTAATAAATGGTTATATTCACTGCAGAACATTTGGAGTGTGCCAAGAATGTTACAAAGAAATAAACATTACCCTCAACATTACTGAGAGAGAATACAATTAACATGTAGTATGTAAGTATGTGTGGATGGATGTGAATATCTATGGTGAATTTCTGTAATTCCTATCATCACAAAAATATCATATATACACTTGTGATGATACAGGACATTATGTGCCAGGTCCCATACTATACATTAGCCTCTGGGCTGTTTTCACATTAAATAGTTAACAAATAATCCTACTAATTATCATTTATTGAGCACTCATGAGGTACCAAGGGCAGTGCTAATTCCCTCCCCTGTATGATCTCACCTACCATCATGCAAGGTACATGTGATTATCCTTCGAGTATCGATGAAGTAACAGAGAAAAGTGACTTGCCCAAGGTCAAAGCACGCAGAGGATTCAAGCTGGTCCCCACACTCCAAACTTCATGCACTGAGCCACCATGCTACTCTGTTGCTCTCCGTTTGTGCCCCTCCACCGTCTACTATGTCATCCTCAGTGACCACATAATGTCCTGTCACATGGGTGCCTTGAGATTCACTTCAGCAATCCACTCTCTTCAGACTTGCAGGAAGTTCCTGATTTTTCACATACAAGCATTTTCCCCCACTCTGCCTGGCAGGCAGTAAATGCCCGATTAGTATTTGGAGAATTGCTAAAAACATTCTTAGGAGTAAATCTTTAAACTCAGCCACTGAGACGTCTTTCCCTTAGGATGTATTCCTTCAAGGCGGGCTGCTGGGTCAAGCCTACGTGCCTATTAGAAGGGACGCACAGAGTGATGGCGGCAAGACACTTGCCCCCGTAGGCTGGGGCAGGCCTGGTTTACACACTCTTCAGGAGGCCGGGACCGGAGCGTCCTCCTGGTGGGCTCCCCGTGGCCGAGTCTCTTCAGGAAGTAGAATCTGAGCTGCCGCCTCTCCGCCTGCCCGGGGAGCATCCAACAGCCCAATGTGACCACACGTGCCCGGTGCTCCAGGAGGCCCCCCCATCACCTGCCTGGTGTCTGCTTATCTGAGTGCCTGGGACTGTCCCAAACTTCCCCAGCGTCAGGAATAGAGCCAAACAATTATTGCTTAACACACAGGCGCCGCAGTAGAAGGCCTGCCTTGTTTTTTTGCTGTGTGGCCCTGGAAGAGTTACTGAAGCTCTCTAAGCCACACTTCCTCCATCTATAAAATGGGCGCGGCAGTAACAGCACTTACCTCCTCGGGTTACTCTGAGGATTCAGTGAGACAAGTCTAGGAGGTGTTTCCCCCAGAGTCCGGCACGTCCTAGGCATTCAACAATTACTGCAGTCCTGCCTCCAGCCACGTTCAATTCATTAAAAGCTGCGTAAGACTCACAGTTCGGTTCCTCGGTCTCACTCGCCGCGTTTCAAGGGCTCAGTGGCCACAAGTGGCTAATGGCTACCCTACTGGGCGGCAGAGACGCAGAACACGTCCACCTTTGCAGGAAGTCGGAGCGCCCAGGACGGAAGGCGCTCGAAGCAGCTGACCCGGCAAGGCCCCGCCCCCTTGCCTTGATTGCAGACCCCTGTGCATCTCTCTCCCAGCCCTGAGAACCTGATCCTGCTCTGCATTTTGAATTTCATCCAGCTGCTTTTGTCACCTCATCTATCAGAGATCCTAAGGAAAACAAACATTTCAAAGCTCGTGGTCGCCTTGAATATGCTTTTGTGGGTGTAAGTTTGTTATCGTAGCTCAGTGAATTAGTTCTGCTGTTAATGGGTCACTGAGCTGAGGGGTTCCTTTAAAAAAACAATGGTAAATCAATCACCCTTTAGCTCTGTACAAAGGGGAACAACAACAACAAAAAAGATTTAGTTTATGGGGGTCTGGTAGCTAGTGGCAGCTCCTGGCCCCTAAGAGGCCGGCAAACTTCCAAACTCATGTTATTGTTTATTTTCCATGTGCGTCGAGCTGGCCAAGGAAAGGTGCTATAGAAATGGAATGTAAGCGGGGCTCTGTGAGGGGACAGGGCACCGGATGTGGGATGTAGGCTTGGCTGGGGGTGGGAGCCCAGTGGGAATCTGCTTTTGAGGAAATACCCAGCACTCAGGTCTTTTTTAGGGACCTAAATCTAAGCGCTATTTACAGTGCCAAGGGTGGGTATGGACCTTACCTTTCAAGAGACCTCAGGTGTAAGTTGTATGAACCTTAAATGGGAGAGGCGCCAGAGGTCATCAGCCCATATGGGAAATCAGGAAGATCCTTTGGTGATCATCCAGTTTACTGGGTTTCAGGAGGGAAAGCCTCTCTCCCAATGCAACTGAGGCAAAACCCCACCAGAAATGGAAAACGGTTGGGGGAGCTCCCCTGGTTAAAGCAGAGATGGAAGCCTGGAGTCCCACTCACACAGCCCCCCAGGGCAGCCCCCCGCAGCATCTCTGTGGGGGAGAGTGTGAAATCCACCCAAATGGCTCAATATCCCCATCAACCGTCAGCTGGGTCTCATTTGATGAGCAGCACAAGAGTAAAAGGAAAAAAAATACTTGAGTCTGATGCTTATAACCTGGGGCCAATGACTTGTTTTGTCCTCTGTGAAATGCGCATAGTTCCTACCCCATAGGTTTGCTGTGAGAATTAAATAACATGTTGTATATTAAAGTTCTTTATGAACAACAAACTTTACACAAGTAGAAATACTGTTATTGATAAGAATCAATTTTATATACCTGTTACTGGAGAACTGATTCATTTTCTTCCCTCCCTGCTCTGCCCCCTCCTTTCCTCCCTCCTTTTCTTCCTAATGAGCATTTATTAAGCATCACGCCCTGTGCCAGGTGCTGAGGATACAGTGATGTATTAGAGGCAATCCCTGCCTTCACAGAACTCGCTTGTCTTCGTGGGGGGAAGAGACACCTGAATTGAATATTGTGATAGAATTTGATGGTGGGCAACCACGTGCAATTTTGTAGATAGTGCGTTATTCAAGCCTTACTGGCTTTAAAGGGCCAGTAGTGAGGGCTGTGACTGCCCTATGGAAGGGATATCTTGTTCTAATTTGCCAAAGATGTGATAAGGGCTAGAGTGGCCTTGATATATGCTCAAAGGAAGCATAGAGCATCCTAGAACCCAAAGAATGAGTCCTTAACACTGTTACTATTGGTATAAAAAAGAGTTTTGAAAGGATATATGCAGTTAGGGAAAAAAAAAACATATCTCATGTAACAATTACATATTTGCAAAACCAAAAGCATGCTATTGTTTTTTTCTGTAGTAAAACAGTAAAGGAGCATGTGAGAGTTTTGCGTTTCAAAAAAAAAAAAGTTTCAATCACCACCAGCTTAGAAAAATATAGCTGCAAAATGAGAAGGAAACTTGGGAGATCAATTCCAAAGATTCCATTTTCTTAAGAAAAGTGGGACCCAGAGAGGGGATGTGACGGACCCAAAGGCATTAGGTGACCTTGCAGCAGAGCAAGGACTTCTCCCCAGGTTTCCTGCCTTTCAGTCCTGGTCAGCTTCCTAAAGTGCCTTTCTGAGGAGCTCCGAGAGGCCACGTCTTCCTTATACCCCTGAGGTTCTCACGGAAGGAATATTACCCAGATTATTTGGAATGAGGAATTGCTGGGATGAAGAAATCTTAGAAAAGGCAAGCAGCTCGCTCAAGGGTGCTCTGAGCCAGGACTGGAGGCCACGTCTGACATCCAGCCCCGAGCACCCTGTAGAGAGCGGGGCCTTACCTGCGTAGCTCATGAAGTTGTTGAAAGGAGTGTTGAAGAAGCTATTAAAGCCGCAGGTGTCGTTCCCTGGCCCCGGGTCGCCACAGAACTTGTGTTTTGGGGCTGGGTTGGTGTCGCTGCAGAGGTCTCCAGTCTCAAAGGAGGGCTCTGTCTCCATGCAGGGGTCACTGCAAGACTGGATTTCCGAGATGCCTCGGAAGATGTGGTAGAGGCCCAGGCTGTGCCCAATCTCGTGGATCATGGTGTGGGTGTGCCCAGGAGTGCCGTAGAAAGAGGGATTCAAAACGATGCCACCTGCAAGGGGAGAACCACAGCGTCAGGCAAACGGGGCACCCTGCTTCCTGATGGAGGAACCCCCAAACCAATCCAGGGTAAACGTGGGTGCTGCCCAGAGTAACCACAGGCTTCTCCACCTTGTGACAACCCTACTGCTGAGAGCTGTTATGACTTGAGATGAATCACTGATTGAGTAGGAAGGCATCTCAGAAGTCATTTTCTGCAGTCCATTCGTGATTCCACTGAAAACACCAGTGCCTAAGAAGTGCGTCAACACACCCAAGGTGATTTCAAACTCCTTGAAGCAGTGGCATGACTCGAATTCGAGGTCTGTGATTTCTGGGCTGGTAGGCATTTCTGCTGCAACTTCTTAGGAAAGAAGGCACGGCCTGGTTCACAAACATTCCACACACGTCTGTTTAAACGAATCCCTCGTGGCCAGGCACCTTGGTTCTGGCTCTCATTTTGCCTTCACTAATTCTGTGAAGTTGAGCAAGTCAACCGCCATCCTTGAATCCGTTCCTGCAGCTCTGTATACCCGATGACAGTATGTATTCATGCAGGCCAGCGCCATGGCATGCTCGCCTTTGCAACACTGGTCACAGCAGCCAACGTTTCTTGAGCATCTGCTATGTATCCTCAGGCCCTCTGCTTAAGTGTTTCATGTGTATAATCACACCTGATCATCTCGCAACTCAATGAGAGGAGCACGGACTGACAGAGAGTTCAAGTAACTGGCCCATGATCAAGTGGGAAACTGGCATCTGAACCCAAGATCCTCGGGTTCCAAAGCCAGGGCGTTTAATCTGAGTTCTGCTGCTAATGCTGACCACAGGGCCCAGAGTATGGCATCTTATTAAATGTAAGTTGAATATGTGCTGAACGCCAACCCAATTAAAGGAGTTTTGTGAGGTCTAACCAGTCACGGGTAAGCAGCCAGCCCAGCACCTGACACACAGCAAGCGCCTCACTTGCTGTCTGATCACTCGCTGCTCCAAGTGCGTCTCTAGAACAAGCAGCACCAGCATCGCTGGGAGGGTGATTAGACGCTCGGAACCTCAGGCCCCACCCCAGACTTACAGAATCAGAATGAGGAGTTAAACAAGAGCCCAGGTGCCTCGCCTGTATGTTCCAGTTTGAGAAGCAATAATCTACCCCACGTGTCTTAAAAGATTGAGTGTGGCTTAATTGGGGCAGATGGATGGACCAGATCTCAGTAAAATCAATGGATAAGCATGGTTCTCTGTTCGTTCATTTTTAGGCCTTGGAGAAATACATATAGGCTAGCAGAGAGATATTTCAACTGTAAAATCCAAATGTGTTTAAGGGAAAGTTAAGATTCAAGTCTGAGCAACCTGCAAGCAGTGACTCTAAGTGCAGAGTAGCATCTTACAAACGAATGACGGGAAGGCAGGGTCTTATTGATTTGTACTGACGAGCCTGGAGCAGGCGTAGGGGCAGTTTTATCTCAGGCTGAACTGCAGGGAGGGTGAGCTTGCTTACTCATGGGGCTCACGGAGTCTATTAATTCTGCACTGCTCAGAGCCTTCCAGCACAAAGATAAAGATGTATGAGAGGGTGTGTGGGGGTGTGCGTGTACGCGTGTGTGTGTGAGAGCAGGGGCAGGCAGAGGCAGGGAGGACGAGAAATTGAGACAGGAAATCTCTCTCAATTATTTTCTGTCAATCATAATATGAAACATAATCCCCTTCCCACCCAAGGCTTTTTCCAGGGACCATGGTGTAACAGCAGGAAAAGAGGGTGAAAAAAATATATATATATGGTTCTAACAAATTGGGTTTGGGCCTTCTGCAGAGGAATTGTTTATTATCAACACGTCTCAGGATGGGGAGGTGGAGGCCAACCTGAGTTAGCCTGGCATAGGTTGCAATCTTCATTGTATTTCACACTGGCTGTGTGATCTTGGGAAAGTGACTCTGCGTCTCTGGTGAGCTCTAAAACAAACAGCTACTATAATGCCAATGATTCTCTGTCTCTTTATGAAGCTTTAACACGGAGGTAAATGGGAGAGGGGGCAGGACCCCACAGGTTTTTCCCTGGATCATGGCAGCATGGTCGACTTAACGTCCAGGCGGGCTCTGTTTGCTTTACCTCATCCCCTCCCTCCCAGCTCTCCCCTTTTCACAGAACAACAGCACAGAGCTTGAGCCCTGTTTCACTGCTTCTCTTAAAAGGTGAAATAGCTTGAGGCTGACATCATCCTGAAATACTATAACATGCTATGGATTTATAGCCTTCTGTATTCCTGGTCCTGAGCCAGTCCCTGAAATTCGCGGAATTGTCAGGAGTATTTTTCTCCAGCGTTAGAAGCCCGCTGCTCAACCCTTCTAAGACTCTGATCACGACCCTTTTGGTGGATTTTTCCAAGAGGACAGAATTTTCAGCACGGAGAAGGGTCCTTGGAGGCCACCTGCTTTAACCTATTCATTTAAAATGGGAAGAAACTGAGACCTGAAGAAGGAAAGAGACTTGCCTAAGGCCATCCCGCTGGGTTAAGTCACAGCTGAGAACAACCATGTATTCTGGCCTGGGGCCGGCAAGATCCCCGGACTTCATGAAGGCACGCCATATGAGCTAATCAGCTTCAGCTTGCCTAAGCTGCACATTCTCTCCTGCCCAGCCCCTGTCTGCCTGGGTCTGCCTGTCTGCCCGTCTGTCTACCCACCCAACATCTGTCTCAGGGTTTCTCAACAACAGCACCATCGATATTTTGGGCTGGATAACTCTTTATTGTGGTTATTGTCAGAGGTCTGGCAGCATCTCTGGCTTCTACCCACTAGATGCCAGTAGCTTCACCCCAATTGTAAAATCCAAAAATGTCTCTAGATATTGCCAAATGTCTCCTAGGGGAAAAAATCCTCCCCTCCACCAAGAATCACTAGATATTTATTTCTGTATCTATCTCTACTTACACAACCACAAAGATGCATGTGCTCACACACACACACACACACACACACACATTAGTTTCACTCTTTAAAAGGACTAGGGAAAGAGAGTGGTCTAGAGAACTAAGTCTAGAGTTTGACTCAGCACAGCTTTATTGTTTGAAGTTGCCATGTCCTTCATCTCCAAGATCCTGTGGATTTAAAACTGCTACTGGACTCTGGCTGTACTACTGGGGTACTAGACAGGCCTGAGGAAAGATCCAGCAACATCTCTCTGCTAAGCCCTACCATTGTCAGGAAGGTACTCCCTGAGTCATCAGTATTCATTAGTGTAAACAGTAGGAACATTCTATAAAGGCGACATAGCTAAATAAACTGCAGTGCTCTCACTCAATGGAATATTATGTGGCCATTAAAAATCTCATCTTTAGAGAAATGGACATAATCCAGAGAGATGCTTTCTCTTGTGATGTTAAGTGGGAAGAAAAAAAAACAAGTTGGATGGGAAGTAATTATATGAAAACTGTTGCAACATGGAAAAATGTAGACAGCATAATATTAAGTGAAAAGAGAACAGAAAATTGCATCTATGCTATGATTTCAAATGTGTGCAAGTTAAAGAATGCATGTCTACGTATAGACACGTACTGGAAGAAAGCATGGAAAAGTTAAAATTACAGAACAACAATGTTTGCTTACAGGGCCTGGTTCAGAAATCATTGTCATTTCTGACTTTTGGTGATTAGTTTACATAAACATATGTCTTGTTTATGGATACACATAATTTGAATTTAAGAAGGGTTCCTGGTGGTGGTGGTGGTGGTGGTGGTGGGTGGAACACGGAGGAACAAGGAGTTCTAACGAACTCTCTCTTGCCTCTTTGGTGTCTCTCAAGCCAACCCATAACCGGCTGGGCCAGGCTCATGGGCTGAGAGGCAGGGGCAATACGGAGAAAGCCATCAGTGAACAGAGTTGGAAACTTAAATTCCAATTGTGGTTCTGCCGCTGATTTGTGTATGCCCTTGGGCAAGCCCCATTCCTTCTCTGGATCTTAGTTTCCCCACTAGTAGAACAGGATTAATAATATTAATATTTTTGTCAGAGCACTGCCTGATGGTTGAAAGATAAGGAAAGCTAAGGAGTTTTGAAAAATTAAAAAGTAATGAGTAAGTAGATTGCTCACCATCACCACCACAACCATCACCACCACCACCATCACCACCACCATCACTACTAAATGTATTCCTGTGCTAATCTAATATCTTCCTGAAGAAGTTTCTAATTCTCACCTAAGTGCATTAGGGCCTCCTTGTCCCACGGCCAAGTTGCTACTCCCGCCAATTCCTCCTCCGAAGAGTTTGCAAAGAAGATATTGAGGTGTGTTGATCCATCCAATCTAAGAATGTTCTTCAGCTCATTAACATCCAAGTATGCTCTGTAAGAGAAAAAGAACCTTGGCTGTCATCACCATCAAATAACAGGTACTCCTACATTAATTGAGTCACTGTGTGCCAGGCACTTTGCAAAACACTTTATAAACATCACCTCATTGACTCCCCCAATAGTAAGGGAGATGATCCCATTTTACAGATTAAAAAAAAAATTAAATCCATTAAAAAAAAAGTCCTTGTGATTTTGAGACACTTGAAGGTTGCTCAGCTTAGAACAACAGCAGGGTTCAGTTTAGAACCTAGATTAATCTCAAGTCAACATCTGTGCCCCTGAGGACCCTGCTGTATTGACTGATGACAGAGCAACATAATGTGGATATAGATCAGGAACAGGCTATGAAAGAGGTAACGTGTATTCTAGTCTTGGCTTCTTCTCTATTTCATTCATTCACTGTGGACCTCAGACCATACATTTGGCAAATACAGAGCTACACTAGGAGGCCTGTTTTGAATCTCTATTCCAATCTTGCAAGGAGACATTATTACTCTGTTCGCAAGATAAGCAACGTGTGGTCCAAAGTGATGAAACAGGTTGCCCAACGTTGCAAAACTGGGTTTCAAGGCCAATTCCGTCTAGCTTAGAAACTTACTCTCTTTTCACTGAGGTGTTATCTGACTCCCATAGATGATTCTGCAGCCTGTAAGCCTCCGTTTCTTTGTCCATAAGATAAAGATGAAGGGATATTGTATTTGGGGCAGCTGCCATTGTATCTAGGGTACAGACTGACCTATTGGAAAAGTGAATTAACTCCCCATGCTACAATCATAAACTCTTAAATACACTGAACAAGTATACTTTGGAAAGAGAAAGAAAGGGTCTTTGCAAAGAGACTGGCATATCCCAGGTGCTCAATAAATGCGAACTCTTCCCTTGTGGTGTACAACTCTCCCATCAGACTAGTCACAGGCATGTTATTCAGTGGGTCATTTTCTAAACAGAGAGAGGTATCCGGCTCCCCTCTCATGCTTCTTCAGTCCCCATTTTATGTCTGTCATCATGTAGATTAAGGATCCTTATGAACAGGTGATACTCATTTCCGGAGTAAAGTTGGAAATGAATCAATGAATAAAAACATACATAAACAAGCAAGCAGGCAGCCTGCTGTCGTAGGTGAGATCAAGCCTATGAGTAATGATATTTAATGTCTGCTGGGCCCTTCTATGTGGTCCGACTTCGTGTGGGTTATCTTCTTTAATCTTCTTAGTAACACTGAGGTAGGTGGTATTATTATCCCCATTTTCCAGAGGAGGAGAAAGAGGCTTACAGAACCTTCACACCTTGCTCAGGTCACACAGCTCGTTGGAAGGGCTTCCCTTTCCTGTAATGCTGCCTCTCCAGGGGCGCTGGCACAGAGCCTGGCCGGTAAAACACGAATGGCGCTGCCCTTCTCTTTCCCTCCTGGAGTCATAGAAGAACCTCCCCGTGTGTGAAAGAGTGAAGTCTGAGATCCCCAGCATGGCCTACAAGAAAGACCCTGTCTGCCCCTTTAGCCTCATCTCTCTCCGAGGCAGAATGAGAATTCACAGTAAATTTCCCACTGTGTGTCATCAGCAACCCCCACAATGCACTAACCTCAGTGCGTTTACTCGTGCTGCTCCCTCTGCCAGAGACTCTGCTCCCCATTTTGTTCTCTGATGAACAAATCCAAAGTCTGTTCTGGTACCACTCCTTCAGGAAGACCTCCCTGACTCCCATCTCCCGGGTACCGCCTTGACCGTCTCTGTACTTATCCACCTCCTTTTCGCAAACACTCTTGCAACCCTCCAAACGATCACATCACCTGTCTGTAGCTACCACTGTGTGTGGCTCTCTGGGGCCAGGGAACGTGCGTAGCTCATCTCTGTCTACCCAGGTCCCAGCACAGGGCTTGACACTGGGCAAGCCCTCCATAAATGCTGATGGAGCCGAATTTACAATGGGAAAGAGAAAAGTTAAATATTTAGGTCCCAGACTCAGCTTCAGCACTTCCTTCCTAGGAGGCCTCAGTTTCCTTACCGACACACTGGGATCAGTGAGCATCACAGAGCATCTCCATGGGTCACAACCTACACCTCCACTCAGACAGGAACAGGATGTGTCTCCGACTGACAGTGCCCTCCTGGACACCCACGTTATCGAGAGCCCATGATTAGTCATGTGACCATAATTTCTCCGGCTTTTCAAAGCAAGGTGAACATGATTTGGAGAGCTGGAGATACAGGCAGGTCCTAGAGACATCACATCCATGTCCAGGTGCAGCCAGACACTGATTCCGAGGACAGCCACAGAAGCGGAGATATTACCCAGAAATCTGGCTGCTGTGCCTTCTCTGCCCCGAGATCCCACCTTTAGCTTCCTGGACTAGAAGGCTCTTAATGAGTTGGAACAATCAGAGTAGGAATGAGGAAGGAAAAAGGCAAGCATTTAGGAAGCACTTGCTGTATGCCAGGCCCTGTGCTAGTGAAACCTGTTGTCCCATCTCTGTGCGGCAGCTGAAGCCACAAAGCAGAGGGGGTAAGGTGGCCCGTTCTCAAGCCAAAGTGCTGGATTTGAGTCCAGCTTGTCCACCTGATGTTTGGGTCACTCTGGGCTATTTACTTAACTTCCTGGGCCCCAGTTTCTTTACACACAGAACAAGGATGCTAACAGTATCTACCTCATAAAGTTGTTCAGAGGATTTGGGACGTTAACAAAGGAAGTGTAAACGGCTCAGAATAATACCTGGCACGTAGAAGCCCTCGGTAAATGTTTAGCTATTCTGGTTATTTATCCCCATCTTACAGATGAAGGAACAGGGGTTCAGAGATCACATAAATACTGACAAGGCCAAGTGCAAATCTAGACGTGTCCAACTCTTCCCACAACCTCACCCTCGATTCCAAGCTCACTCAGGGCCACAGCGAAAGGAAACAACGTGTGGGAGGAGAATGAAAACACAGAGAAGCCGAGGTTTTCTTGGATCAGCCCTTTCCACATTATTTATTATTTTCTAATTGATTTGTTCATTTCCATCATGCGTTCTCTCGAGCAGAGAACACACACGTTATTAGAGAAAGTCACCTCTTTGCCCTATTGCTCTAAGCTGAGAAAGCTTCAAGAGAGGAGGAGAAGGGGTGAGGTAGGGGCAGGGGGAACATTTTAATTGGTTGTTTATTCCGTTGTAATTGCAGAAACCAATCTTTTCAGGGGGGCGGTGTTCGTCCTGGCCCAAGGCAGAGATGTGGGATACTGAAGCCTCTCGCTTGCTTGTGCGTGGGCTTTTATTTCACACTTTGCGAAGCCCTCATTCCCCAAAGGAGCAAGAATCCAGGCAGCCACTCAGACCCCTGGCCCCATCGGCCTCTCTCCTCTCCAGCTCTTTCTGGGGACCAGCTCTGTGGCTAAAATAGTTCCTTGTACTGGCTGAGGTCTTCCCACCAATCCAGAGCCAAGCTTGGTGTCTCCCACAAGTATCAGGGGAAAATCTTGGGGGGCAGGAGTTCCTGTGGATATTTACCTCCCTCCCCCTCTCTCTTTAAGGTTTCTTTATTCCCTCTGTTGAAGGAGGGAGTAGAAAGCTCAGGTCAGGCTGAGAAGGACCATTAGAATTTAGGGAGATGGATGATGAGAGGAGGAAAAGGATGTGCTCAGGGCCTCTTACTTTCTTTCCATTTTGCCACTGTGGGGAGGTTGGAGTATAAATGGGCCAAATTAATTAAAAAAAACACATTAGCCCTCCAAAAATCAATCCAAACCCAAAGCTCTGGGTTCATTAGTTTACTCAGGAGTACTACTCAGGTGGACCTTGCTCGACCTCTCTGAGTCTCAGTTAGCTCACAGGGATCCCAGAGGGATTCAGTGAGATAGCTCAGCATGGTCCCCTCCAGAGTCTGGCCTCCTACTTTCTCCTACTGGCTAACACCCTAAACTGACAGTCTGCCTCCGGGTGGCTCTCCGCGTCTCAGCTCTCAGAATCGCATCCCTACCACCCAGTCCTCTTCTTCCTCCCCAAACCTCCCACTCAAGGCCTTATGGTTTCCACATCTTGGGAAACCACATCTGGTTTTCCCCAATTATGCCCATGCCCAAAGCATGTCCACATTTTCTCTTCTCTGCTCTGTAAGCTCTCTTCCTGCATCTCGGCCTTTTAAAATCTGACCCTCCCTGCTAAGTTCAGCTTCCATGTCACGCACTCCATGTATCCACTCCTGCCTGCCCACCCCTGTAAGATGGGGTGACGATGCCCACCCTCAGGGGTGTCAGGAAGACTAGAGGCAGTGCAGAGGAAGATCCTCGCACAGTGCCCGGCACACAGAAGGCACTCACTCAGTAGCCTAGGCTATTCTAATGCATCGTTGTTAACAATGATAATTACTAGCAACACCAGCATCATCAACACCGCCTCTGGCCGAAGATGATCCTCTCTCCTCAGAGCTCCCTGCTTTCGATTCCAGCACTTACCACCCGGCTTTGTGTTGCCGTCCCTCTGTGTGTGACCACCTGCCTCCTCCATCAGGCTGTGATAAGCTCCAGTCCAGTGTAAGTCAAGCCTTTGTCATCTCTGTCTCCTAAAACTTTCCATCGAGAGAGAGAACTACCCCTGGTTGGTGGCTTCTGAGCACTTCTCTTGTAAACTGCGTAACTTCAGAACAGGGTGAGGAAGCCAGGGCTCAGGGAAGTGAAGTGGCTCGCCCAAGGTATCAGGTAAAGGGCGCAGACCTCTATTCACCAGCCTGTATGTGACAGCACTTTCGCACTCTCCCTTCGGAGGGCAGGGGACATAGCTCCTTGCATGGGGACGTGGCCTGGAGGGTTCAGCAGGGGAAGGGCTGCGGCATCATCCGTCCCCCTCAGCTGGACACCCCTGTGTAGAACCTGCCATGCCTGAATTTCTGGCCCGTCCCCACTATGTTTGGCCACCTGGTCTGCAGCTCAAGAGTCCCCGACTATTCGGTGAGCTTGTGTACTACCAGTGTTTTCCAAATCACGGTCTGTAGACGGCTAAATCCACAAGAAGCATAGGCT